AAAAATGCCAGGAAAATCGGTTCGACGTATGGGGGCACGCGTCTCATCATCCACCCTGCGTCAGTCCGCAGGGTGGCCCGGAACTCCAAGGCAATCCTGTCGCTCCTCTCCCTACGGGTGGTCCCCCCCTTTGTTGTTCTCCACCGGGGGCCACCTGGTATGTGTTCCTACACTTCACCGGGCCCCTCCACTTGCCCTCTTTCTGGTGATGGTCTCTTCTTGACGGTGTGGTTCCTATTCACTGGTTAGGGTTCTTCACGGCGTTGGATCTATCTACCCTCCGGGAAATTGGGTGACCCTCGTCCGGGGGCCCTCTTCTACCTGGAGTGGTCACCTTTCACGGCAGTGGATCTCTCTCCTCTACCGGATGGTGCGTCCATCTCTTCCGGGTGCTCCTACCGATGGTGTGATTCTCGCTCTACCTGGTTAGTTGGTCTCTCTCTTCTACCTGGATGGGGTCATAACCTTAACCGGGTGGTGGTTCTCTACCCTCACTGACCAAACCCATGGAGTTACGCGTGGCTATCCATCTACCGGGAGTGATCGCTGCGAACAGGCGTGGTATGGAGGTCCTGCCGACCTGGTTATGTGTAGGTTTCCCCTATTATACACGGTTTAGGTGTCTAACTCTTTTCACCGGTACGGCTCTCCTGTGATTCCACTCTATTGCGTGACCTAGAGTTTATGTTGTGTTCTCGAATCACACAGGAAAGAGGTCTCTCTCTACACTGGTTATGTTGCACTGTCATCTCCAATCCCTAACCGGTGGTGCCGTCTCTACCTACCGGTTATGTTGGGAATCAGCACTTTATACCTGATAGTGTGTTCTCTCATACTACAAACTGGTTATGTGTGTTTCTACTCTATCTACCTGGATATGTCTGTCTCTCCTCTCTTCAACACAGGTTATGTGGTTCACTCATCTCTATACATGGTTATGTGTGTCTCTCTCCTTATATACTGGTTATGTTGTGTTCTCTCTCTCTTCTACTGGGTTATGTTGTGTTCTCTCTCTTCTAACCTGGTTATGTTGTGTTCTCTTCTCTTCTACCTGGTTAGTTGTGTCTTCTCTCTCCTACCTGGTTATGTTGTGTTCTCTCTCTCTTCTACCTGGTTATGTTGTGTTCTCTCTCTTCTACCTGGTTATGTTGTGTTCTCTCTCTCTTCTACCTGGTTATGTTGTGTTCTCTCTCTCTTCTACCTGGTTATGTTGTGTTCTCTCTCTCTTCTACCTGGTTATGTGTGTTCTCTCTCTCTTCACCTGGTTATGTTGTGTTCTCTCTCTCTTCTACCTGGTTATGTTGTGTTCTCTCTCTCTTCTACCTGGTTATGTTGTGTTCTCTCTCTTCTACCTGGTTATGTTGTGTTCTCTCTCTTCTTCTACCTGGTTAGTTGTGTTCTCTCTCTCTTCTACCTGGTTATGTTGTGTTCTCTCTCTCTTCTACCTGGTTATGTTGTGTTCTCTCTCTCTTCTACCTGGTTATGTTGTGTTCTCTCTCTCTTCTACCTGGTTATGTTGTGTTCTCTCTCTCTTCTACCTGGTTATGTTGTGTTCTCTCTCTCTTCTACCTGGTTATGTTGTGTTTCTCTCTCTCTTCTAACCTGGTTATGTTGTGTTCTCTCTCTCTTTCTACCTGGTTATGTTGTGTTCTCTCTCTCTTCTACCTGGTTATGTTGTGTTCTCTCTTCTCTTCTACCTGGTTATGTTGTGTTCTCTCTCTCTTCTACCTGGTTATGTGTGTTCTCTCTCTCTTCTACCTGGTTATGTTGTGTTCTCTCTCTCTTCTACCTGGTTATGTTGTGTTCTCTCTCTCTTCTACCTGGTTATGTTGTGTTCTCTCTCTCTTCTACCTGGTTATGTTGTGTTCTCTCTCTCTTCTACCTGGTTATGTGTTGTGTTCTCTCTCCTCTTTACCTGGTTATGTTGTGTTCTCTCTCTCTTCTAACCTGGTTATGTTGTGTTCTCTCTCTCTCTACCTGGTTATGTTGTGTTCTCTCTCTCTTCTACCTGGTTATGTTGTGTTCTCTCTCTCCTTCTACCTGGTTATGTTGTTTTCTCTCTCTCTTCTACCTGGTTATGTGTGTGTTCTCTCTCTCTTCTACCTGGTTATGTTGTGTTCTCTCTCTCTTTTACCTGGTTATGTTTGTGTTCTCTCTCTCTTCTACCTGGTTATGTTGTGTTCTCTCTCTCTTCTACCTGGTTATGTTTGTGTCTCTCTCTTCTTCTACCTGGTTATGTTGTGTGTTCTCTCTCTCTTCTACCTGGTTATGTTTGTTCTCTCTCTCTTCTACCTGGTTATGTTGTGTTTCTCTCTCTCTTCTACCTGGTTATGTTGTGTTCTCTCTCTCTTCTACCTGGTTATGTTGTGTTCTCTCTCTCTCTTACCTGGTTATGTTGTGTTCTCTCTCTCTTCTACCTGGTTATGTTGTGTTCTCTCTCTCTTCTACCTGGTTATGTGTGTTTCTCTCTCTCTCTTCTACCTGGTTATGTTGTGTTCTCTCTCTCTCTTCTACCTGGTTATGTTGTGTTCTCTCTCTCTTCTACCTGGTTATGTTGTGTTCTCTCTCTCTTCTACCTGGTTATGTTGTGTTCTCTCTCTCTTCTACCTTCTTTCTTACTGGTTATGTTGTGTTCTCTCTCTTTCATACCTGGTTATGTTGTGTTCTCTCTCTCTTCTACCTGGTTTAGTTGTGTTCTCTCTCTCTTCTACCTGGTTATGTTGTGTTCTCTCTCTCTTCTACCTGGTTATGTTGTGTTCTCTCTCTCTTCTACCTGGTTATGTTGTGTTCTCTCTCTCTTCTACCTGGTTATGTTGTGTTCCTTCTTCTCTCTCTCTTCTACCTGGTTAGTGTTGTGTTCTCTCTCTCTTCTACCTGGTTATGTTGTGTTCTCTCTCTCTCTTCTACCTGGTTATGTTGTGTTCTCTCTCTCTTCTACTGGTTATGTTGTGTTCTCTCTCTCTTCTAACCTGGTTATGTTGTGTTCTCTTCTCTCTGGTTTGCTACCTGGTTATGTGTGTGTTCTCTCTCTCTTCTACCTGGTTATGTTGTGTTCTCTCTCTCTTCTACCTGGTTATGTTGTGTTCTCTCTCTCTTCTACCTGGTTATGTTGTGTTCTCTCTCTCTCTTCTACCTGGTTATGTTGTGTTCTCTCTCTCTCTTCTACCTGGTTATGTTGTGTTCTCTCTCTCTCTTCTACCTGGTTATGTTGTGTTCTCTCTCTCTTCTACCTGGTTATGTTGTGTTCTCTCTCTTCTACCTGGTTATGTTGTGTTCTCTCTCTCTTCTACCTGGTTATGTTGTGTTCTCTCTCTCTTCTACCTGGTTATGTTGTGTTCTCTCTCTCTTTCTACCTGGTTATGTTGTGTTCTCTCTCTCTTACCTGGTTATGTTGTGTTCTTCTCTCTTCTACCTGGTTATGTTGTGTTCTCTCTCTCTTTCTACCTGGTTATGTTGTGTTCTCTCTCTCTTCTACCGGTTATGTTGTGTTCTCTCTATCTTCTACCTGGTTATGTTGTGTTTCTCTCTCTTCTACCTGGTTATGTTGTGTGTTCTCTCTCTTCTACCTGGTTATGTTGTGTTCTCTCCTCTTCTACCTGGTTATGTTTGTTTCTCTCATCTTCTACCTGGTTATGTTGTGTTCTCTCTCTCTTCTAACCTGGTTATGTTGTGTTCTCTCTCTCTCTTACCTGGTTTGTTTGTGTTCTCTCTCTCTTCTACCTGGTTATGTTGTGTTCTCTCTCTCTCTTCTACCTGGTTATGTTGTGTTCTCTCTTCTTCTACCTGGTTATGTTGTGTTATCTCTCCTTTCACTGGTTATGTTGTGTTCTACTCTCTTCTACCTGGTTATGTTGTGTTCTCTCTCTCTCTTCTACCTGGTGATGTTGTGTTCTCTCTCTCTCTTCACCTGGTTATGTTGTGTTCTCTCTCTTCTTCTCCTGGTTGTGTTTGTGTTCTCTCTCTCTTCTACCTGGTTATGTTGTGTTCTCTCTCTCTTCTACCTGGTTATGTTGTGTTCTCTCTCTCTTCTCACCTGGTTATGTTGTGTTTCTCTTCTCTTCTACCTGGTTATGTTGTGTTCTCTCTCTCTTCTCTACCTGGTTATGTTGTGTTCTCTCTTCTTCTACCTGGTTATGTTGTGTTCTCTCTCTCTTCTACCTGGTTATGTTGTGTTCTCTCTCTCTTCTACCTGGTTATGTGTGTTCTCTCTCTCTTCTACCTGGTTATGTTGTGTTCTCTCTCTCTTCTACCTGGTTATGTGTGTGTTCTCTCTCTCTTCTACCTG